TATATATATATATATATATATATATATATATTCAATGTGCAGCAGTTACAGTCGGCGGGGCTGGTGTAAGTATAAGTAATGCTAATAGTGAGACATTAATACAGAATGGTAAGTAGCAGGTATGATATGGACAGTATAGACAGCTGATTCAATGTGAGCCAGAAGCCTGGAGGCAGAGACATTTCTTGTGCAGATGTTTTATTTAAACTTAAGAATGGTCGGCCATCGCAATATTGTTTTGAAGTCAAGCTTCATTAAATCAACTATGGGGCCTGCATTTTTATGCCTGATTTGGAGTTAAGTCCGATCTGTATACAAACAGTAACTTGCAACAGGGCCATCTTTTAAATCTAAATTTACTAAATTAGTATTGACCAGTGGTGTAACGGATCACGGATCGATCCGTGATCCGTTCGGATCACCCCTCACGGTTCGGATCACTCGTGAACCGCGGATCAATTGAGTATTTTTTTTCTTTCTTTTTTTTAACAGTTTAATTATCATAGTGTGTAATACAGTTTTACTGCTGCTGTTCCTTTTCAAGTAACAAGTCCCTGAATATCAATGCAGAGTGTCAGTGAACAGGTATAAAGCAGTAGTGTGTTCACGTGAACGGAGCAGGTTAAAAGCATTTAACGGCGGAAGTCATGGCGAGCAGAGGAACTTGAGAAGCCCCCAGCATCATTTAAGTCGCAAGTTTGGGAGCATTTTGTCTTCCCTGTAACTTATAATGACGGGATGAGGGTGGTGGACAAACCGTTACAGTATGTAGGCATTATTTAAAGAGAAAGACACACGACAACGGCAAAACATCGGGCATGTCCACACGTATGAAGAGCCACCATCCCGTCTGTCAGCGACGGGGGACACTCCGGTGTGGAAAACAAAGGATTTCAAAATCTGGTTAATGTGCTTGAGCCACGATACGAAATCCACTCACGCACCCACTTAAGTATGAAGATCGTTCCAGGCCTCTATGAAAAGGAAAAGACTGACCGCTCACTTCATCACGGGAGATTCATAGTCCGGTGCTGCAGACACGCCCCCTCTGTGAGAGTCACACAGACACACACCTGGGGCAGGTGTTGACAGAAGTATCGGCGAGGAAGCTAGACAGGCCCAATAATAATATCCCACTCACCACAGAAAGGTCTACCCTCTCCCCAGACAATGGAGATATTCTCATCTTTTTCAAAAATATGAGAACAGTACACAGTAATGGTAAACATTATTGTGTATTTGAAAGACATAACCTGACAGGAAGTAAACAAAGACCCAAGTTGTTGCCGAGCAGTTCGGTTCAGTGTAAACAGTGGAAGCTAGCTCACTGGCTGTTTCTTTCTTTCAGTATTGATCAAAGGACGAGGGTATCAACATACCTCATGTTGCACTTAAACTTAACAGAATTGAATATTCTTGAATGTTTTATTTTTATTTATTTATTTCCATTTTGTTTCAAATTGGACAACTTCACTATTTTTGTTTTTATGTAAGACTATAGCCCAAAGTTCTTTTCTTTAAGTGTTCTTGAAGTTCTTTAATTAATAAATGGAAAGCAAAGTTATATTTGTCTCCTCCAATTTTCTTTGTTGATCCGAACCGTGATCCGAACCGAACCGTGAGGTTTGTGATCCGTTTCACCCCTAGTATTGACGAAGCTTATTTAACGCATACATTCCATGGGTTCTGCCCCCGTCTTTGACAAAAAAGAAGTGCTTACTGATGTTGTGTAGAATTTCCCTTTCGGTGTATTAAAGAGGTCAAAGTGAACCAGCAGATGAGAAATGAAACTTAAAAAAAATGATGCAAGTTCTAAGCTGCATTGAGTTTCTGTTTTTCCGTTCTTACAAGCCTAAAAGTTTCGGATCTCCCCCTTTCAGATGCAGAAGTAGCTGAGGACGATGGTGAAGGCGATATCGATGAAGGCGATATCGATGAAGGTGAGGGCGATATCGATGAAGGTGAGGGCGATATCGATGAAGGTGAGGGCGATATCGATGAAGGTGAGGGCGATATCGATGAAGGCGATAATGCTGAAGGTGAAGGCGATAATGCTGAAGGTGAAGGCGTTAATGCTGGAGCTGGAGCCGATGGTGTTGGTGAAAATGACGCCCCTCAAGAGGAAGACGAGGGTCGAGATTCGGGTGGTTACTATGAGGACGAGGAGGCGGAAGGTGAGCCTTTTGAGAGTCGTCCAACTTCAGACTCGGGTCACAGCATGCCTGAATTCCCAGCAGATGTTGACACACAGAAATCCAACGTGCCAGAGGAGCAGGCCAGGCCTGTGCCAGAGCCGGTGGACAAAGAGGAGAACAAACCAGGTGATTTCCAAACGTGTTTCAGCTCGACATGCAATATAACACCGATAGGCCTATTGATACATTTTGTGCAATGTTGTAAAGTCACTTAGATTTTCAATTATTTTATAAAATGTCACCTTGATTTCATGGTTATCTCATGAAGTGTTCACCGCCAGAGCAGTGAGGATATAAATACAGTTGAGAGAGATGAACTGTTTTACTAGTATTTAACAGTGACTCGGATCAATTCATCGGTGTAACAATGACTCGGCGGTTAGTATTGTCACCTATATTTTGATTGGTATTTACTTTACTCTGTGGCTGCCTGCTTCCTCTAAAGTGCCATGATGGTGTTTTCGTTCAGTGTGTGTTTTAAAATGGTGTCAGCAGGAAAGGAGACGAGGACAGGGCTCTTAAAAACTTGATATGCAATGTGTATGGTGATGGCTCTGAATATCCCAATTTATTCGGTAAAGTTGCAGGTAAATCTAAAGGATTGCAGTACCATTGTGATTAATAGTTTTGGTGGTTTATAATGTCACATTTATGGTGACGCTGTCAGTAAGGTCTTCATTCAACCACAGTTGGCTGTGGTGTTCATGTTTTGTCCAGCATAAGTTACAGGCAGGAGGGGACAGAATAACAGAAACATGCTTTGAAACTACCTTGATATTGATACTGCAACAGTATTGTAGGGTTGACTTTAAGTGCTTTCACTAAATTTTTACACAATGGGGGTTTTTGGCTAAATGACAAAGTGGTTAAAGGCTAGAACAAGCTGGTAAGTTCACACATTTACATCACTTTTCTGTAGTGTAGCCTTTAAAACCATTAAAAGACGACACTCGTGCCATATTGCGACTTCCAAAATCCCGATATTTATATATATTATCAATATATGGCCCAGCCCGAGCTCACTGTCATTTCTCATTTTAGAAATCAAAGTGGAGGTCAAAATGGAAGAGGAGCCTGCAGCCGATGAAGATACCCAGCAGGGTAATCAGGGGACAGAACATCTGGACGGCCAGGACAGCGAACATCAGGCCGAGCAAATCAAAGTGGAAGCTGATAGAAGTGGACACTCCGGCCGCAAGAGACCGTATGAGGAGAGCAGGGGCTACGGCTACTATGAGCACCGCGAGGAGAAGAGGTATGCACATCCTAGAAGTGTTTTATTTTCCGCTTGGCTTCTAGTAGGTAGTACAATACGACACTGGTGTAGCACAACAGGAGAATGAGGGAAATATTATGTCACAGGCTGGTCTGGTTTGTATGAATTTTGTCAATGAATGTGGCTGTAAAGGCTGTTAACTTCATACTCTGCTCATGCTCTACAGATCCCGCACACCACAGCCCCCGGCTGAAGACGAGGAGGAGAACATAGATGACACCCTTGTTACCATCGATACGTGTAAGTGAGAGGATAAGCTAGGGAACGATGACTTGTGAAAAGTGTAGCCACAGCTTGAATGTGTGTTATCTGCTTACCTCATACAGTAGCCAGCTTAGATTGTGTCCTTGCATGTCTGTATCATGTTTTTTATTTAATATCCCGGACCTGACAGATTCGGCAGATGCATTTAAAACTCTCTTTCCTTTCAGACAACTGTGATCTGCATTTCAAAGTGTCCCGAGATCGCTACAGCGGTTATCCTCTGACCATCGAAGGCTTTGCCTACCTGTGGGCTGGAGCCCGAGCCACACACGGGGTCACGCAGGGCCGCGTGTTTTATGAGATGAAGGTAATGAGTAGAAAGTATCTTTCTCTGATGTCAGGGTGGTTTTAAAGCTAGACACACGTGTGCTTCATACAACCAATACGAGGATGGTGCTGCGTGTTCTGACAGAGCGAGATGTTTCCTTTGGTGAAACATTGAGCTGCTGTAAATACATTTTGTTTATTGTGTCCACATTTGACCCAATTGTCCCTGATGCATGAGACGGGCTCCGTGTATTTATTATTTTGTGTGGATTACCGGTTCTTTTGTTTAGCATATTAACAGAGAGTATCTTTTTACATTTAAGTACTACGTTACATTTAAGCACCCCATATTCATGTTTTACTTAGTTCTTGAAAACTTACACTGTGTGGGAAATTAAAATCCCACATTGCCGAACCTGAACTCCGTCTGGTTATTTTTAGGAGATTTTACGACCAATACTTGTTGGATGACTTCCCTTGTGATGCCTTGTTGCTGTTGATCTTCTCTCGGCTTGTTTTTCACCTGGTTTGTCCCCTCGCTCTTCAGATCAATGAGGAGATTCCTGTAAAGCACCTTCCCAGCAGTGAGCCGGACCCCCATGTAGTCAGAATTGGATGGTCTCTCAACCACTGCAGCACTCAGCTTGGTGAGAGGAGCAGTCGCCCAAACAATGGAGATGATGTTTAACATGACAGAAACAAAAGAGAGCTGTGGCTTAAAGTAGTAACGCTGCATTTGACCCCGTCTGGTTTCAGGTGAGGAGCCCTTTTCCTTTGGATATGGAGGAACGGGAAAGAAATCCGCAGACTGCAAGTTTGCAGACTTTGGGGAGAAGTTTGGTGAAAACGACGTCATCGGCTGTTACATTGTAAGTAATGGCATCAGTGATCCAATCACTTTATCTTCTAATAGCATCGTGTCAGGATATTTTTGATTTATCATCCTAAATACAACAAAACAATTTCCTAAAAGGCTTTCCTATTATTAATATTTTGCTGTAGGACTTTGACAGTGGCGATGAGGTGGAGATGGGCTATTCCAAGAATGGAGTATCACTGGGCGTGGCTTTCCAGACAACCAAGGAAGCGCTGGCGGGCCGCGCCCTGTTCCCCCACGTCCTGGTGAAGAATTGTGCCGTTGAGTTCAACTTCGGCCAGAGGCTGCAGCCGTACTTCACCCCACCAGAGGGATACACCTACATCCACAATCTTGGCATGGAGGACAAGATCAGAGGCACCAAGGGACCCGCCATCAAATCTGAATGCGAGGTAGGGCAGCGCTGACTTTCTAGAACAATGTGCGTTTGTTTGTTTTTCACTCACACAAAGGTACGTTGTGATTGATTTGTTTGCAGTATATCTGCAGCCAAAGATTTTTGGGCGATATTCACTTTTCTATTATACATCATAGTGTATGTAATTGGATTCTTTTTTTGACACTGATCAGCAGAAAATACATTTTCGATCAGATAGTTTTTTGTTGATTTTAAAAGGAACAGGTCTTGTGGACGAGAATTAACCTGTTTTTCTTCTTAACTTGTTTCAGATCTTGATGATGGTCGGCCTGCCTGCCTGTGGAAAGACTACCTGGGCCATAAAGTATGCGGAGAGCAACCCTGAGAAGAAGTACAACATCCTGGGCACAAACGCCATCATGGACAAGATGAAGGTGAACTAAACAGTCACGCTAGGCTTCAGCCTGTTGGTGATCGCTTTTTATACCAACGGTCGATCAACGATATAACCAATATTAAAGCAATTTGAACTATGCACTTACTGTGCATCTAGAGATGTTTCTGGTGGAGTTCAATACATTATGTTACGTTGACACTTAGACTGAGTCTTCCATGTTGTGGCGTAACTCCCCCCACCAATCTGGAGGAACCACTATTACATCATATAGAAATTAAAAACGATCTCCCAACCCTAAACCACCCGTTGTTACGATCCATCGTCTTATTTGTTGCCCCAGGTCATGGGTCTCCGTCGCCAGAAGAACTACTCGGGCCGCTGGGACGTCCTGATCCAGCAGGCCACCCAGTGTCTGAACCGGCTGATCGAGATCGCTGCCCGCAAGAGACGCAACTACATCCTAGACCAGGTACTGCCCACCCACACTCTGCTCTGATACTCGCCACAGTCAGTCAATGTGCCCTGATGATCACTCTCTCTAATGGACTATCTATTTATCTTTCAGGGGGGCTCTGTGTATTATAGAGTAGAAGAAGCATTGATCACCCTCTTGTTTCTTGCTTGTCATGTACTGTAAAAGCAAATGATTAATGGCTCTCATAAGTGACAGAGTATTTCATGTTTTCATCCCTCAGTATATTTGCACTTGCTATTTCTTGTCATGATACAGTATTGTTTTGTCTTGTGAATTTCAACAATGTACAAGTAAACCATGACTATGTAAAGATGTTGAGAAACAAGTAAGCTCTGACTGGTGAGTAAGAAAAACACCTTCCGTTGCTAATTTCATAAGACAGAGTTGATAGCTTTTTTAAAAGCTATTGTTAAGTGAGATACTTGGAACTTTTGAGTGTGTTTATTAATTAATTGACCCTGAAGGTAAGTAATGACTAACAGTTTTTAGACTTTTAGATCCTTTGGTTCAGCAAATGTATAAAAAGGTAGGTGGGTCTGATGGCGGACAGTCTTTTCCGTGGAAACTGTGAGTATGAGCAGGTAGGTTATATATATATATATATATATATATCTGTCTGTTGTCTTGTCCGGGACTAGAGTCCGTATGAAGACCAGGTGAGTCCAGGTGAGTGCGGGGGACCCGGCAGAATAGCAAGTCGGTTATTATGACGCACGCTCTCGTGAGTTCACTTCAGAAAGTGATCGTTGTAACATGTATGTGGTGGATTTGTAGATATTGTTTATGGATTTGATAGGGAATGAATGAGAGTAGTAGGATTTGGCGCTAAAAAAATCCTTTTCGCTTATTATCACCATGTTGTTTCGATATAAACATTAGTCGTGTCATTACTTTAGAATTGTTTTTACTGAGATACTAAATGCATAATGTTGTGTTATTATCTGTTGGTCGTTGTAGAAGTCGTTGGTTGCTGTTAAGTGAACAGGGATGAGTGATGAAGCATGTTCACTTGGTGAGCTTCTATTTGAATAACACGACACAGTATGACGCTAACTTTATTCTTATCGGTTTGTACTGAAGATGTGAGTCTCACCGGTAAATTAGCCTAATTATAGGTTTGTTATTAACGTCCTGTTCAGAATTGCAGCCAGTTGCATATTTAACACAGCTGAGGATTCGTTAAGAGTAGTTTCGATTCCACATCTGGATTTCTTAAAGCAAAGCGTTGACCTTCCACACATGCGTCGGTGAATATGAATCGTTTTTACAATAGGCTGCACCAGAGACAGTTTGAAGTTTGACTGATGTCAGTAGTGATGGAACTAAATCTGTTTTTTGGCATAGATTGCATTTTATGCAACCCCCATGATGCCATGGTAAAGGCTGATACTGGGGTAGCTAATTTATGCATTACATGGCAAGATATGGAATGTTTTTCAGCATGTAAACATTAAAAATCCTACTATCTTGTTATTTATGGCAGCCTACATTTGGTGTAATTTTGCTGTGACCGTATTTTTTGTCTTTATTTAATAATATGCCGTGGATTTGAACCAGTACTCTCGTTCTCAAGCTGAATTAATAAGCGGAATCAGTATTGACTTCATGAAAGCGGTAATACAGCCGGGCAGCACGCGTTTCGTCATCCTAACTGCAGGTCTTGGCATTGACGATAATCTAGATTATAAAAACGGAGGAGAAAATGCTCAACACATCCTACATCAGCGGTCGCTCACGATAGAATGGGGTTACAAGCTGAGTCAGCACAACAGCTACTTAAATATCAACGGTCTATTGTTATTAATGGTCTGAAACTCGTATGTCTATGTTGTTAAGTAACTACGGGAATATTCAGTGAAGTCAGGTTAAATATGTGCGGGGTCCCCTTTTGTGTCGATAACTAACCTCCGTCAGCAGCCACTGGGCGCCCGGATATGCAGACCGTGAGGTGAGTCTGTGGAGTGACGAGAGGCCATTAGAACTTGAGTAAAAGCGTAGACTTGACATCCAAGCCAAACCTCTCTCACTTCATTATTGCAGGGTTCCAGCTTCCTTCCAGTGGAAAGCCATAACAAGTAAACAATAACAAACAAGCTTCTACTTCTTTCTTGTCACCATTGCTAGACAAATGTATATGGATCAGCAAGGAGACGAAAAATGCGTCCTTTTGAAGGTTTTCAACGCAAGGCTATTGTAATTTGTCCCACGGACGAGGATTTAAAAGAACGAACATTAAAGCAAACCAATGAGCAGGGGAAGGATGTGCCCGATCATGCTGTTTTAGAAATGAAAGGTAGGAACGCTGTGGAAACAACAAACAAAACACCAGATCTACTTTTTACTTTTCTATGTGTTGTCTCTAAAATCAAACTTGGAAGATGCCCCCCCCCCCCCCCCTCCCCCCACCCCCACCTTTCCCCCATCATATTCTTTGGTCAGATATCAGACCTGGACATTTTATTTTTAAAGTCCACATGAATTTGATTCTTCCTTATTTCTGCCCTCTATCTGCCACTCGCCATACAGCTTAATTCTAATGCACTGCAAACTGAGACGTGGGCCTCGTCGAGGTCAATGTAACAGTAGAGCTAATATTGCACAATTTGTTTCCCCGAAAACGATGTTTCCAAATAGCAAAACTTACAAGCAGTCACATGCTGAAGTTGTCGGAAGTTAATTTGTAACAGCATTACATCAGCTGTCCTTGGTTTGCAGTGCTGTTTCCTCTTCTCACCAACCTTCCAGTTGTCCCTTTTTGTCCCTCTCCCCACCTCTACTGAACTCCTCCCTCTCCTTTGTCTGCTTCAGCAAATGTTTCCTCCATGTTCCCCTGGAGGTGGCGTTTGTTCCCTTTTTACCCTGCCATCAGCTTTCATCTATCTGAACTTAGTGTCTCTTATGATTTCCACTGCCTCTGTATGGTTGTAATTATTTTTTTCATTTTGTCTTCTGGTGGTGTGGCTGCTCTGGTCCTCACTACAACCCCCTCCCCCTCTTTCTCTTTCTCTCTCTCTGCCTCTCCATCCCTCTCTCGCTGGATGGGCTGTCTCTCTCTCCTCCTGTGGTCACCTCTGTCACTCTCCAAGCCAACTTTACTCTCCCTGAGGCTTGCGACTTCCTGGAGGCGGTGACGTTCGCCGAGCTGCAGCTCGACGAGGCCGAAAGTCTGCTGAAGCAGTACAATGAGGAGGGCCGCAAGGCCGGCCCGCCCCCTGAGAAACGCTTCGACAACAGGCAGGGCGGGTTCCGTGGCCGCGGCGGCAGTGGTGGTGGTGGCGGCGGAGGCGGTGGTAGCTTCCAGCGGTACGACAACCGCGATGGAGCACGCGGTGGCTACCAGAACCGCAGTGCCGACGGAGGCAGCGGATACAGAGGAGGTGAGCCGAGCGGTCAGCATACCTCATACATATTTATTGTAATCGTGTAAATCCATAGCTTCTGTTAGTTCTGTGATCTGAATGTAATGATGCATAAGACCCAAAACTAGGGCTGGTATATAGTTTACAGTAAAGTTACGTATATCTCTATTGTATCCCAACATTTCTGTTTATTTAGCAGGCTACAATCGTGGCAGCTATAACCAGAACCGCTGGGGCGGCAGCAGCAGCAGCTACCGCGAAGGAGGCTCTGATGCACGCGGGAGTTATAACCGCAGCCAGCCGTCAGGAGGAAGCTACAACCGCCCGGCCTCCTACAACAAGGGAGCCTACAGCCAGGTAATTAACTATTTTAATGTATGAAATTGGAGAAAATGTAGACTAAATGTAATAGTGAATGAATGTAATCTTCTGATCTACTTGCTTCACCTCCAGAGCTACAGTCAAGGGTACAACCCGAGCAGCTACAACCAGAGTTACTACGGCAGCTACAGTCAGTACCCGGGATACAACCAGAGCTACAGCCAGACACCTACCACTGCACAGACGTACAACCACCACCAGCAACAGCCGCAGCAGGCGCAGCAGCAGGCACCACAGCAGCAGCCTCAGCCTCAACAGCAGCAGCAGCAACAGAGCTACAACCAGCAATATCAGCAGGTAGTGAAGGCCTCACACTCATTTGGGGGAGTTGGGGAGCCGTCAGTGGGCCTGTGGATCAGCTCTAGGCTACGTTGCTAGAACCCCAGTTGGCTTGATAACCCTGTTTACACCGACTACTTTTACATGCTTAAAAGATTCTGTTTTATGCCCCAATTGTGGAAAACTCCACATTCCTTCTGAGCTATTAACATGGCTCATAAAAATGAATATTCCACTAATATTCCTGTTAATATGCATGTGCTGCATATACTCTGATTAATGTAAAATGCTGTCGTATTTGAATTCCAAGTCTTCCGTAATGTTTACAGAAATGGAAATAAATGCGAACTTGCCCTCACCGCTGCGCTTGCTTTCTGTTTCTCCCTCCAGTACGCTCAGCAGTGGCAGCAGTACTACCAGAACCAGAACCAGTGGAACCAGTATTACAGCCAGTACGGCGGCTACCCTGGACAGGGCAGCCAAGGCTCATCTGGTTCTCAGTAGCTCCGGTCTGCATCTGTACCTGCGTCCACCTGTGTCCTAAACTGACCTCTGCAGCGAATCCAATTTTTGTACAGTCTCACATTAAATCTCCAACCATAACTGTCTCTGTCTGGGTTAACACAGCAGCCTTCATTCCTCACCAATCAATGTACGCACAAACTGTCACCAGTTTGTAGTTTCTTTTCTTTTTTTACTGAATGAAGTCTTACTCTACGCAGTGACCGTGAGGTGGTAGATGATAGGTATCAGAACATCTAATGAATGTTATCTATTATGCATTTAATGTGGGCTCCACATTTCCTACAGATTAAAGAGGTTATTGTATATTTCTCGGATGCGATAGTGTGAAAACGTGACGGGGCAGAAAAAATTCAGCAAGGCCTAAATAAATTTGCTTGTTTTGAGAAGCTTAACAAAGAACAAAATGCATGCTTTTTACCTTCCCCACCCTCTCCTATGTCTTTGCTCTTTATTTTTCAGTTTCCAAGTGAGCATGTTTTATTTACTCCCAATAGACTTCAAACATTATGGAAGATTTTTTTTTTATAGGTGTTGATACTGTAGTATTTAAGCGTTTAATTCGTCTTTGAATATTTTGCCACTGAGTAGATGTATGTGCAGTTTTTTTTTTTTTTAATCCCTTTGTGATTGCTGTTCATTGAGTCATGTAGTTAAATCCAGTTGTCGAACTCGTTTTTTTTTTCTACCTGAAAATGAAAATCAGATAATGACCCGTTACCCGAGCTGTCTTTCTTGTCTTTATACAATAAATGCAATTGTATACGCCTGGAGATGTTAATGTCTTGTTTTTTTTTTTGCTCTGCAAGTGAACTCAAACAACACAAACTGCAGGATTTATCATTGCTGGTGTATCTTTCTTATTTTCAACAAGATCGACATTGTAGACAAAAGATGAAACAAACGAGCATTTAGCTTAAAACAAGCCGTAACGTTCCAGTGCAGTCCTGTTGAACTGTTAGAAAGTCAAACTGTTGACAGGGCAGGAAATGAACATGTTCCACTGCTAGCTAGGGTGGTTTATGAATTAAATTCCACTATGGGTGACATGAATAAAGTCATATATCATCATATATTATAATCACATGCTAAAATGCTGTAAATCCCTTATTGCCCTTAAAGGACTTCAGTGATTTACTAAATTGTCTGGCCTGATGTAACCAGAGATAATAAAGGAGTAGATACCTCATACACAGTATAGCGATATCTACTGGTCGACAAGTTGTCTCATGTTATATCTTCAAATCACCTGACACTAAGCCAAACAAATAGAAATTCTAAAAAAAAATGTCTTGCTGGCTTACTTTCCAAATCCATGAGCAGAGTTGTCATATAGCTGCCAAAGTGACAATTTCAACGGTTAGTGTTTATTTCCTACCCTGGATGTGTGATGTGTAAATAGGACCGGGAAACTCCTGTCTGGGGTCATAAATGACCTAATGGATTGAGGTTGAGTCTTAGCACCAGAGAACAAAGGCACCTGTTCTAAAAAAAAAACAGAGGTGTTCATAAATTACAGCAGGACAATCGGTGCTTGAAGCCTAAACATTCAGCCGAACTCACAAGACTGACAAAAATAAAATAACACGTCATAATCGAACTTGAAACACGAGGGAGTCTATACACATAATTGCCGGCGTTCTGATGCGAATGGCCAGTAAATGTCATCAGTCCAACACCAGTCAGAGGCAGCGAGTGTCAGAAAACGTTGGTGGTGTCTGGGCGTTTTTTGTCCATGATGGGGGGGGGGGAATGTTGGCAGTCAGAGCGCTCAGTCCGGCTCTCTGCTCTTGTCTTTGTGGAGATGCAGCTCCTCCATCTTCTCCTGCAGGAAGGAGACAGGCATGGAGCAGCCTCGGGTTCTGTGTGGCAGTGTGTTGGCCTGGACGACAGAGACAAGACAAAATCAAGAGAGTTCTCCTCAAACTCAGAGAGAATGTTTTTAACTTTCTAGTGCGAAAGGTTATTTGAAAAGTGGCGGTTGGGAACCACGCAAAGTTTGTTTCATCTGCGGAGGAAATAGTTCTTTGAAACCTGTTGACAGTGAGCTCTGTGGGTTACCCCGAGTGTTTCTAGAGAGAGATGCTGCTTTTGAATTTGTCAAATGTAATTCTTCAATTCTTTGATCAGCCAAAGACAAAATTCCATTCGCCTCCTTTGAACTTAAAAACTCGATGGACTCGGTAGCTTCTCTACTGTCAATGACACAGATTTACTTTTGTACAGAAGATTATAAGTGCAGTGCATAAAGAGAAAATTATTTTGCATTATGAGAATAAAGTGGAAATGTCGAGAATAAGGTTGACCTTACAGGATTAGTGCCGGCCATAAGACATGTTTTATTTTCATTTGAGAATAAAGTTGAGAAGACGAGAATACATTTTGAACTTCTGTGAATAAATCAAACTATTAGGGTGAATACATATAATCCTTCTCTCATTTATTTGTTTTGGTCATGCCTGGCCCTAATACTCATCAGTACTTTTGGAAAGGACAACCAGGGTACAGAAAGGATTATTTCTGTGCCCTAATTTGCCGTGTTGTGTTCGGGAATTTAGACCAGAGGTCTAAGCAACCAACCTAAGAGAAAACGCCTGTGTGCTGTAGGAGCTTTAAGAGGGGAAAGACACAGTGTGTCCAATGTGACACTTTCTGTCTTTGGCAGAAATGTGTCCAAACGTATGCTATCAAGATCATTTGAAAGAAGCTATGCTCATAGAAAGATTCCACACGTTGAGGCTAGAAATGCTTGTAGTACAACAGTAGTACATGTACACTCCAAGCAGCCAGTGTCACTGATAGACTCATTGATTAGCTCCTGTAGTACCACCGGACAGTGACTCACTGCTCTGTAGCTTCTCCACCTCGGGCTACAGATATTTCTATAGATGCTGAGCTCATAAGCATTTGTGATAAGATAAAAACCAGAAGAGGTCGAGATGCTCTGTCCTCCTGTATGATCCCCTCGAAGGGACTCGCGTTCTGTCTCACCCTTCTCTCCGGCGATGCATGCACTAGAGAGTTGTGGTGGTTTCCCCTCTTGTCCTTCTTCTCCGGCGTCCACACTCCAGGATCGGTCTGAGTGGAGCAGTCCGACACGCCCTCGCTGTCTTCCGTCTCGTTGCTTTGGGGGAAAACAAAGGCCTCCTCCTCTGAACCTGACAGGGAACGGTAAGACATCAGGGGTTCAAGGTCATTTTCAAAAGCAGGGGCTTCTAGGGCTGTTGTGTTCTGCAGTGTGATGGAGATAAGGACGTACTCCAGCTGTTACCCTTGATCCTTGAGTTGGGGGCCGGGGTGCACGGGCAGGACCCCGTCGTGTTTTTGTGCTTCTTCAAGCACTCCATTCCCACCAGATCTCTGCAGTGTTTGTGACAGTTTATCCCACAGTCTGAGAGACAGAAGAAACACAAATGCTGAGGCTTTAAAGGAACTGATGAAGCTGATTACTCTGCAGGATGAAATGACATGTGGTCTTACCTTTACAGTGGTAGCCCTGCTTGATGACTCCCCACAGCTACAAGAGGACAGACATGGTACATGTGATATTGCAGCTTTGTTGGCCATTAATATATACTATATATATGTATATAAAAAAATATAAGAATGGACACAACGGATACTCACAAAGCCTCCACACGTCTCGCAAAACGTCGGCCGTTTATACGTGGTTTCATGGAAGTTGTGTGCATTGAAGTTGAAGCCCAGCTTGGCACATATAGACATTCCCCTCATGAAGTAAGACGTGATTTCTTCACGGCTGATTTGTCCCTCCCTGCACGCACAACAAAAAGTGAGTAAGTGAGTTGTTTTTTTTGAGGTTTTTTTGATGGCCTCTGTGTGTGTGGGCGGCTTCCTCACCTGTCAGTTTCGTGAGTGCAGAAGGAGAAGGGGAAGTTGGCTGCTATTTTCTCAAAGTCCTCCAGTGCAATGTAACCGTCCTGGCTCTGCTCGTAGTTCTTCATTACGGACTGTGGGGGGCGACAGAGCAATCAGATACGCGGTCGCGGGCTCCTCAGAGAGCAGTTGGTTTAGTTCTGCTTTGGGCCTGCCAAGTAATAAGGAAGTGAAAGAAGGCGGGAGGTTTGCTGCAGTGTCACATACTCACATCCACCATCTGCTTGACGTGTTTAGAGATGGTGTTGGGGTCGAGCCTGGGGGTGACCCCTGAACCCCACTCCGCCACTACGGGTGCCTTAACCGGAGCTACGGGCTGTGGACAGACAGATGCAAGGATGAGACACGAAGGGACTGAACGTGTGAGAAACAAGAAGATGAAGAAGAGGGGAAAGAAAAAAAAGAGCACACCCACCACATAACACGCTTCTCTAACGTACAAGCGCTTTGATGTGGCCGATTCTGATGCATAACAGCACAGAGTCTGTGCTTTTGTTTTGAAGAAAAGATGTTACACACACACACACAAGTGTCCTCCCTCTCGTAAGAAGAGGTTGAAACAAGTGTGAGTCCGGCGGAGTTAGATGGAGCACAGCTTCAGAGAAGAGTATGTGGCTCTACTGACCTGGATCTTGGTGTTCCTGGGCTCCTTGGTGTACGAAAGTTCATATATCTCATCCTCAGTGTAGTATAAATCTAGAGAGAGCTGGAACATCAAAAGAACATCATTTAAAGAGGTTCCTCGTGGGAATCTCTTTCATCGGATTTCTTAATGAAATGTCTCTGTACCGTGAGCAGATGCAGAAGGTCTTTGTTGGCCTCGAAGGGCGGCGTGCAGCTGTGGACGGCCACCAGGTCGCTGATGTTGCTGTACAGGTGCTCCAGCTTGCTCAGGTTGATCTTGTCCTCGTTGATGTAGTCCGGCAGGGCCTCGTTCAGCGAGATCAGGTCCTTCAGGTGGACGCCCAGGATGGGCACCTTGAAGCCATTGCACACGTTGTAAATCCGCCGGTAGTTGATGTAGTTGCTGCGCGAGGAGAGCAGCTCTGTCATCTCACTCAGGGCCTGAAAAGAGGGCGAAGACCACGAGAGAAACGATAAATAAAGACAGCGGTTACTTTTCTCTGCCGTTATGTGGACTTCAGTACAGCCATGAAAATAGAAATATGAACGATAAGGAGTATTTTCAAGTCACAAGGATTAAGTTTGAGTAAAGTCATGAGTCATTGGTGTTTAAGTCCAAGTCAAGTTGATTTTTTTCAAGTTTTTCAAAAGTCATCAAATTTGTGACTTGAATCTGGTACAAGCTATATGTTAATTATGTCTTTTAGGGTGTGAATGGTGTTATCATTTGTAACAATGTAACAAAGCAACTAAAAAAACTAATTGATATCAGTACAAGACAAAGAAACTTCAAGAGGGGAGTTACAAAGTGTTGACACCCAAAAGGAAGCAAGAATTGAAACCTCTACCAAATGCTGTTGTACCTGAATTATCCCCCTCCCTTAAGTTTAACTGAACACACGCTGCACTAGTTTCACAGTTAATGGTAATATATATGTATATACACGTATATACATATATATAGATAGATAGATAGATAGATATATCTTGACAAACAGAAGGTGGAAGTAAACAGAAACACAACTTTGTTGGCGAAAGAAAATATAGAATAAATGCAATATATTCAATACACAAACACAAAGTCAGTGAACCGAAAGAAATGTCACTGTTCAAGAAGGAGAAGGATTCAAGTAAGAAAAGTGTAATTGTGAAATATTTGTGGTGAGGCAGTCATCAACCGACCGACTCATGGTTATGTGTAATATCTGAAAAACCTTAGTGATGTCAGGAGGCAGCAGGTTGGAGGTGTCTTTGAGGCGGGAGATGGAACTGTGACAGAGGCCTCCAGTCACTGCCATTAGAGTGTTAAAGTTTTGCAGAGCTCGGAGTTTCTATGGAGGAAAGAACACATGAAGTTATTTCCTTATAATCAAACGAGTATAGTTCTTGGCATGTGAAACCAAAACCCCCCTGAGCCTCCCTCAGCCCATTTACCTGGGCCACGTGAATGAACTTAGTGAAGACCTGGGCTCTCTGCTGGGCCGTGTGTCTGCTGAGGATCATCAGCTGGACCCACTGGGACACTCCATTACACATCATGACCGAGCGCTCCAGAGCGGGGTTGTCCCTCACCGAGCCTCGCACCACGTAGCTCCGGTAGTCCAGGAACTGCCCGGTCGGAAAGCAGCGGTCAGACAGGAAAACGACTCTAGCACTGTTTTCACTCAGCAGGGTGGACATCTGTCTCCAAATGGTGATATTTTCTACTCCTAACTGCTTTTCTACTGAAAGAGAAAACAATTCTCTGGAACATCTGGAAGGAGAATCTTACCTAACTTCAAAAAAAAAGAAGGAAGGATGCTATTTTCTGATATATGTACTTTATAAAGGGTTTGAGTCTGGGCATGTACATATTGATAGCTAAATGGATTTTTGTGCAGATGTATATAATATACATATTATTATTATAGCATACCGAAACAAGCAGGGGGTCGGTTATTATATCCATATAGCATTTGGCATTTTAATGTTTTTTTTGGTGGGATAAGCGTGTTATTTAATCTTCATGATATGCACAGTCACCTCTTGTGAGAGCAGCAACATCTCTACAAGTCATGGCAACACGATGAAGCCTCAATAAAGGTGCTATGTACCACATTGGGAGCATTTCTGTTGCCTCTCAATGTAGCGACGGCTGAGCCGGCGACTCGCAGCTAACGGTGCTAACGGTGCAAACTACGGAATAAATGCTGGAAGAGCTAACGTGACAACACCAACGGCAGAGACGGCATTATCAGCTGTAACCGCTGTATGAGAGGAATGCAGGTGGACATTACTCCACTATGTCTTCACATAGATAATGGTTGTTTGTTGCTACAGTAACGCTCTGAATCTGTACATTGCACCTTCAAGCAAAGAAAGAAAAGCAAAAAGTGAGAAATTGGTCTCTAAACTCACTGAAACATTACAGAAGTTCTTGAACTCCAGGTAGCTGAGGTGCTCGGCCATCTCGTGCGGCTCCATGTGGTCGAAGATCAGAGACACCTTCCTCTTCTTCACAGAGGGCGAGGGTGCCTGGAATATGTTCACATGAGGGCCTCTAGGAAAAGAAAGCCGAGCAACAGGACAAAAATAGACATTTTTTTTCTCTATTTTCTATTCATAGAAGAAGTTGTTTGAGTTGTGGCCAAATAAGCAAAGTGCAATTCCTCCGGGGCATGACGGGGAATCAAAATCAAAACACGGCTCACAAGCAGGAGGTGTCGATGAGCTGCGAGTGCGTCTGCTCTCCGTCTGAGCGGACCAGCGCCCACAGGTCCCCCATGGTCTGCTCAAGGAGGGGGTCCGCCTCGAACACCGCCGGGAACTGGCTGATCCACTGCCTTTCCACGAAGCAGGACAGAGAAAAAGAATATGCTTACTAACATTAAATGGAGACAGGAGAAGCAGTTTCTGTCCAGACACGTCTCACGCCCCCGGTGCCTTTACTCACCTGATGAGTTGGCAGATCTGTGCCCGCTTCGGCGCCCTCTTGTCCGAGGGACAGTCCTTATAAGTGAGGGACAGAGTCAAGGATCCAAACACAGAATCAAGGTGTGCAGATACGGCACCACGTTACACTAAACACCAGCAGCAGGGATACGTACTTCAAAATCTGCTTTTGCCGACAAAACAAAGCCATGCCTGTTCCCTGATCTGATTACTGAACGCGGACATGTGATCGGGGAGCAGTACACCGGTGGGGACCGGCGGCGCTGCACTGAGCGACAGTGGAGGATATAGGGCGAGAAGTTTCTGGGCGAACATCTGAGACGGCACCACCCAACTGTGCATCATCAGGGTCATGTGGACCAGCTGGGTCCCTCTGGGGCTGGAGAGCTTCCCCTCCGAATCTGCAACCGAAGCACAGCAGCACAGGATTAACGCGGTCAAAAACAACAACAAACACTGTCAACAACAAACACTGTCAACAACAAACACTGTCGGCTCAGGTGGAGCGGCTCAGTCCAGTTCATTTCAGTTCAACTCTGTCAGTCGCTTAGTTCTATTCGAGGTGGGTTGAGGTGGGCATCGAGGTTTGTTTTTAATTTCCTGTAGGTGTGAGTGTCTGTGTTAACCTTGCGATGAAATGACAACCTGCCCCGGTTGTTTTCCTGCCTGTGGCCTACTGTATGAGATACATCCAACTGTGACCTAGAGTAGAAATAAGCAAATAAAGAAGAAAAAAAAGGTCTAGACAAATGTGTCTAAATTACTTGATATACAAAGAACCTTTTCATCATACACTGTACCATAATAAGCCGTCAACCAACGTATAACCTTGCGTAACTGAGCTACCCACATACTCGATCGTGCGCTCAGTCGCAGCTATTAGGGGACGACCGTGGCTCACTGGGTTAAGAGGGTTGTCTGGTAACCGCAGGGACGTGTCGTAGTGTCCCTGAGCAAGACACGGAACCCCCGGCTCCCCGGGCGCCTATCATTGGCAGCCCACTGCTCCCTATATACAGGGATGGGTCAAATGCACAAGGCAAATTTGTATATGTATATGACAATAAAAATGGTTTCTTCTCCCATTCATAATGGGACTTGAAGAGTGCAACCAAGTGTTCGTCACTGTCTTAAGGTTGTTGGTATCTCTATTATCACTTTCTTTTATTATTATCTTTTATCTTATCGCATTTTTCAGCAAATTAAACATACACTACATATGTGCTGGACACCACTAAGGGTATCTAGATGTTTTTTTTTATTTTTGGGGGGATTTGGATGATCTGATCAATGAAGAGGGTGAGACCAAGTAGAGAGGAGAGAGATCTGTATAGTTTACCATTGCATGGGAATAGCTAGTTGGCCTCTGCAGCCCAACTAAACAAAGCTTGATTGTATGAGACTGCCCTTTGTCTCCCTCCCTCCCTCCCTGTCAGTCTCTCTCGCCCTGGAT